AGTGTGTGTGCCTGTGTGCGCACGCGTGATATTTTTAACATTCCTATAGCATTAAAAATACACTCTGGCTGCACTCAACCAAAAGTTTCGAAACCGGCCAGGGCTGGCAATCTGGTGAAGTTTTTATACAGTCTTTATTTTTCCTGTCCTGTCTGGGAAGACGCTGGCACCCCAGCCCAGGCCCAATTCAAGCAAAGAGGTTAACATGGGACAGGAGCCCAGTACACAATGGTTTATGATGGCTAGGATGATCACCGAAAGGGCAAAATTGTATGTCACTTTCTCTTGGCCAAAACATTTTTCTACATTGATTGTTAGAGAGGGAGAAGGAGAGAGAAACATCAGTGAGAACGAACCAAGGATCGACTGCCTCCTGCAAGCCCCCTAGTGGGGGATCGAGCCCAAAACCCAGGCATGTGCCCTGACCGGGAATCAAACCGGTGACCTTTCCGTGCACGGGGCAATACCCAACCAACTGAGCCACACAGGTCAGGGCTTTGCAGAAACACTTGAGAACATGGGGACATGCAAGTTGCCACATGAGTTCGATGCGGGCGGTCATCACAAGCTCCCTGTCGAAGAAGAAGCCAGGTCACCAGCAGCTGCTATCCGGGGTGAAAGATCATTTTCACAGAGTGTAAGCAAAAGTGCCCAAATGATAAAAGTTGCAGGAACCATGGCTGGGTTTCCCTGAGCGGGGAGCACACACAGGCTCCTCCTTCAGTGCACAGGGGCCAGGACGTGGGGGAAAACCCGGCTACCAGCTAACGCTGAGTGGTGTTTCTGTTTGTTTTTTATTGAATGTATTGGGGTGACATTGTTTAATAAAATGATATTGGTTTCATGGGTACAATTCTACAGTACATCATCTGGATAGTGTACTGTGTGTTCACCACCCCAAGTCAATATTTATCACCCCCGTACCCTCCCTCTATTGTGCCCTCCCCCCCCTTTCCTCTGGTAACAATGAGTTTTAACAAGACAGGTCTTTGGTGCCTTTTTCTAGGCAAAGCGCCAAGGCAGGGACAGCCTAAGTACGCCAACAACTTTCTTTGCTTTTTTTTTTTTATATAATTATTTTTTCCTTTATTGATTTTAGAGAGAGAGGAAGGGAGAGAGAGAGAGAAACATCTATGAGAGAGAACATCAATTGGCTGCCTCCTGCATGCCCCCCACTGGGGATGAGGCCCACAACCTGGGCATGTGCCCTGACCAGGAATCGAACCAGCGACCTCTTGGTGCACAAGCTGTCGCTCAACCACTGAGCCACACAGGCTGGGCACCTAACTGATTGCTTCAGCAGGCCCCATTTCTCCCCAGGCCATTGTTCTAGATATAACAGGGCCTGTGTCGAGTCTTTGGGTGTTTTTTTTTTTTTTTTCTATTTCATTTTTTTAACTCCTTCAAATAATATTTGGTGGTTATTAATGGTAATTAATCATACCAATAACCCATTCAAAAGATGTTAGATCCTATCCAGTCTATGTTAACGAAAAAAATCAGCTTTCACAAGTGTAGCAATTCCCCACTTCACTGTGTTACACAGAGTGAGGATTACAAACGCGTCGTCAGCCCACAGAGGTGATCTCTCCTCTTCACCGCCCAGAGTCCTCCAAGGTCTCCCTCTTCTCCGTTCACTGGTACGCCTGGGGACTCAGACTCAAGGTCACGAATCGGCTCAGACAGAACCAAACTGGATGGACCCTGACAGACCACATAATTGGGCAAATGTGAAAACAAAAATTTCAGTTAAAAACTGGAAATGATTACTTGAAAAAAAAGGGCAAACAGATTATGTTACATTTTTCCCTTGCAGAGTATTTCCTTTTGCTTAGGCATTTGAAAAGTCAGCCCCGAGAGATGCAGGTTCACAAAAGCCGGCTCCGTTTTTACAGTCATTCACCCAGGAGGCCAAGGGATAGGTTTTTCTCTTCCCATTAAAATGTGCTTGGCCTTACTTGCCACATTCAGAAAGGGGGCAGGGGGAGGGGCTGGAACACGTCCACCAGAGGGCGCTGCCCCCGCTGAAACTAATAAATATAATGTTCCTAATTTAAAACACTTGGCACTCTAAACAGCCCAAAAGAAATCTTTTATTTTTCCCTTGAGAGCTTTTGCAATAACCAATGAAACTGTCTTCAAACCCAACATTCTATCATTAAATAAAATATAAGACTTCTCTTTCCACAAAGAATAATGATGAGAGTAATAGACACTTACTTATAGCTTATGACGTGGCAGGCCCGGATCTAAGCATTCTACATATATAAAATCACTTCATACTATAAAAATAATCCTCATTTTACATATAGGAAAACTGAGGCACGATTAATGTCACCAAGCTAGTCATGGGCAAGGCCAGGATTCAAATTCTGTCAGTCTGACCCCCCAAGTCCACGTACCTAACCTACAGAAAAACACAGAGTCCCAATAAAAGGAGATTAATGGATGAATGTATTTACCTATGTCACTAATGACATCACAGCTGGAAAAATACATAAAACTAGCTTATGAATAGCACAAATTCTAACATTTGATAGTGATGTTATTAACTGTATTTGACTTCACTTTCACACATACACAAAACCTCCCAGTGAAGTGGGCACATCGCTCACATCCTCTTATTTGTCAGCAATATCCCATAAAAAGACCGAAACTTCTAGATCTGAGAAGGAGAATATACTATGGCCAAAAGGTACAAAGAGAAAAAAATGCAGTTGATGTAAAACAGACAGAGAAATTTTGAATCATATTCAAAATACTGACTTTATATATGTACATCTATGTCCATATAGGCTAAGGTATATGACATAGGTATATTATATATAATATATAAAAACACTGATGTATGCCTATTAATTCTAAAATAATAAAAATAAAATACCACATTCTAAATCTTAAAAAATAGAGGAGAAGAATCTGTTCTTTATATTTTTAAAGATTCATCATATAAACTACAGGCTGACCTCTAGCTTGGAATGAAGTATTCTAAGTAAATCACTGGCTAACAGGACCATATTGTGACTACTGTCCCCATCTTTGGCTGTTACTTTGCATTGTACTACATTCCCATCTATAGGCTACAGCACTCTTGGTAATGGGCAAATACTCACTTGTTGGAAAAACCCCAGAATGAGTGTCATGAGACATGCACTGCCCCAATTTATTATAAATCTGGACAGTTGGGTATTTTATTCAACCACAGGGACACTTATTTCAGACATTCAGATGACAAGATAGACTTTATCAGCTTTGCACATGCGCTTTTGCGTGTGTGCACGCGTGTGGGCAAATTCACATGGGACTACAATATCAAGTTTCAAGCATTTATGGTCCTTTTTCAGTCTATTTCCTACCTGTTGCCCAATTTTTAAAAAATTAACTCTCAGGGTTTTATGTACTAGCAACACTAGTATCTAAATGTCCATCCACTGGAGGCTGGTTAAATAAACTAATCACAGCGCACCCGCATGTTGAGCTATCGGGCAACTTTTTTAAAGAACGAGGTAGCTGCCCTGGCCAGTTTGGCTCAGTGGTTAGAGCGTCGGCCTGTGGTCCGGAGAGACCCAGGTTCGGTTCCTGCTACTTCGGTTGCAGTTTGTCCCCGGCCCTGGTTGGTCGTGCGGGTGGCAGCCACTCGATGTGTCCCTTCATGTTGATGTTTCTCACTCTCTCTCCCTCCCACTCTATCTGTACAAAAAATGGAAAAAATATCCTCGGGTGAGGATAAAAAAAAAAAAAGAGCGAGGTAGCTGTGTGTGCAGGCAGATACAGAAGTGGACAAGGCAGGGCGCAGAACAGTGGACAGAATGTGTTCGCATCTGTATGTGACTGACAGCACCGGCCGGCCCCAGGCACCGCGTAAGGGACGGAGCAACAGGCAGCAGAGGGAGGCTTCCTTTCTGAACACGGCTTAGAAAGCGCGCTTGCATTTCTTCACCCAAGACCATCAAAGATCTTCCCCATGGCAGTGGCGATGAAGTTCAGGTCAAGGCTGCATCATCAGTTTTGAGAACTGTTCATGAACATATGAAGCGGTTCGAGAACCGTGAAACAATTCGAACGCCAGCCGACGGGTGGTTTCTTGACGGCATCTGCTTTCTGCTTGAGCTTCTACCCTTTGGTGACAAGGGGCCCGGGGCAAGTTTTGTTTTCCCACTGCTGGTAGAGGCACTGACACCATTTCCCTCCATCTGCCCTTTAGACAAGTAACACCACAGAAGCGATCCCAAGTCATTTGCTGTTTGCATATATTGTACGCCCGCAAGCTGAAAAATGGTAGGGCCACGCGGCTGGTGCGGCTCAGTGGCTGAGCATCGACCCTGCACCAAGAGGTCGCCAGTTAGATTCCTGGTCAGGACACATGCCCAGGTTGTGGGCCCGATCCCCACAGGGGAGGTGGGGGGGCATGCAGGAGGCAGCCCTCCCTCTCCCTTCCTCCCTCTCTGAAAGCAATAAAGAAAAATCAAAACAGCTTCACTCTGCTATCCCCAAGCTGCACCTTTGAGCAGCTTCCCCTCTCTAAACAGGAACACTGCCCCTCCTTACAGGATTGTTGGGAGGATTTAATGATAAAGCAAAACCATCTGCCCTGGTATCAGTCACACATTATGCACAACAACAAAAACAAAAGGGAGGAAAGGGATTTGAGGCCAGAACCGTAGCTTTGGCCTCAGGGACCAAATACAGGGTCAGGGGCTGCGTGCCCTCCTTGCTCTAGTCTGGATGCAGACAGGACAGAGAACTCCCAGAGGGGCAGTCGGAGGGGACGCCGGACGCGCAGTGCAAACCCTAGGTAGTATGAACAGTAGCGCTGAGGCCAAGAGAGAAGGCAAAGGTGGAGAACAGGTAAGGCAGCCAGGACGCAGGAGAGACGGCCCCCCGGGGCCACGCATGGGCGCCAAGGCCAGGAGGACACAGGCCCAGGTTGGCCCGATCCCCAGTGGGGGCGGGGCATGCAGGAGGGCGGGGCAGTCTCCAGCCCCCTGGGAGCCACTTACCGAGGTTCGGCTGGGACACCACCATGGGCCTCTGCGGCACCGGTGTGGAGCTGGCAGCAGGGTGGAGGCTCATATGATTCAAGGGCTGATTCATCACCTTCCGAGGATCTTGCCATGTCGTGATTTTTTCTATGTGACTGAAAGAAGGAAAACAATTATCTTGTGAATTGTCAGCACCAGCGTCACCGTCACCAACAGCAGCGCGACAGTTCAGTGACCAGGGCTCTGCTTCCCCGCGGACCTACTGAGGAGCATACTGCTGTGTTCACCCCAGGCCGGTCACTTACTCTGCAGCCCAGGGGGCCACCAGGGGACTCTGCAGGGATTCTCCGAACACAGGGTGTCTGCCTCACGGAGGACAGACAGGCCCCAGCACACCACCCCACTGCCCACGGAGCCTGTGTCCCCAGCTCCTCCGGCCTCCTCGCCGTCCAACCACGGTGTGAGCTGCTCTCCAGAAGCCGGGCGGCCAGCCAGCCCTCCCACACTCTGGAGGCTCCTCTAATTGACATAATGAGGACACCTCCGCCTGTCCAGCCAAAGACGGGGCCCTTGAAACCAGCCTCATAGCCAGGACGTGACTGATGTCTTACTAAGGGGAAGGCACTTCGAGCCACGTCGGTCACACACAGAACCCTCGAGGGGCGCGTGTCCACCTCGCGAGGTACCACCAGCTGCTAAGCAGGAGGTGCGTGCAGGCAGGAGGCTGAGCGCCAGGCTGTGGCGAACCCTGGAGGCTGGGGCACGGAGGTTCCGAGGGAGCAAACATGGTCAGACTGCGGGTCATGTACAGCGTCCAGTATGTGTTGTTATGACTGAATCTCGGGAGCACAGCTTCTGCCCAGTTTCCGACCCGTCCTTAGAAGGATGGGCGGGACGTCGGCTGTGCCAACCTGCCTCCAAACCACATCACAAGTCATTCCGGGCGCCTCACGCCAAGGGCTCTGCCTGTTTTCGAGAGGTTATTACATTTTTCTTTTAAAGATGAGCACATTCATCAAAGACAGCACACAGCAGTGTCCACTCCAGGCACCGCAGACCCTCCTGGAGCCACAGGAAAAGAGGCAAGAGGGCTGTCTGTTTAAACACCCCGACATCCTGAATAACAGCCCCCCCCCGCCCCCGAAACCACTACTGCTCTGGTGAACTGAGGCCGTGTTCGTCTTTTCTCTTCCTTCTGTTTCTTCATGTTGAATTGCTGGCATAGCCCCAGCTACAATTCCTCTTCTGATGTCTTCATCCCGGGCTGGAAGTTACTGCCTTGGGGGACTCAGACACTGCCCTAATGGAAACGGACACGTGTCCCAAGAATACCTTTAAATGCTAAACTGCTTTTTTTTTTTTTAATCCTCACTCGAGGATGTTTTTCCATTTTTTGTACAGATAGAGCAGGAGGGAGAGAGAGGAAGGGAGAGCGAGAGAGAAACATCGACGTGAAGGGACATATCGAGTGGCTGCCACCCGCACGACCAACCAGGGCCGGGGACAAACTGCAACCGAGGTACGTGCCCTTAGCGGGAACCGAACCCGGGTCTCTCCGGACCGCAGGCCGACGCTCTAACCGCTGAGCCAAACTGGCCAGGGCAGAATACCTTTAAATGAATATAAATTTATAAGGCGGGGGGGGGGGGGGGGCAGCCTCGGTAAAAGAGGCAGAATTAGGTTGAGCTGCTGAATTTCACTACTGGAGGAGCTATGCGCAGTCTTCAAAAAAGCAAAGAACCAAAGCTATCTTGTTGAGCCCTGGCCGGGTGGCTCGGATGGTTGGAGTGTCCATTGTCCCGTACACCAAAGGCTGTGGGTTCGATTCCTGATCAGGGCACATACCGAAGTCTCGGGTTCGACCCCTGGTGGGGAAGCTTGTGAGAGGCAACTGATAGATGTTTCTCTTTTCCCCCTCTGTCTCTTTCCCCCTGCCTCCCTTCCTCTCTCTCTAAAATCAGTTTTTCTAAACACATGTCCTCGGGTGAGGATTTAAAAAGAAAACAATGACCTTGTTAAGGAACAAAAACAAAACAAATAGAAGGGGAAGAGACTGAACTAAAGAGATCAGAATGAATTACCAAAAGCATAAGAAAGAAAAACACTGGTCTCAGTTCCACCTTGAGTTTAATGACTGTCATTCTGTTTAAAGGTAAAGCTTTCATAAAGTACTTCTGTCAACGCATCGCCAGCCTCAGGGGCTTAGAACAGGCCTTCAAAGTGAGGAAGGGGCGGAGGAGGATGCCCAAGTGAAGTGCTTGCTTTATTGACAGAAGAGAGTGGAGCTAAGGAACCCTCCGCCGGCCCCTTCGGGACCATACTATTACAGCTTGTTTTCCACGGGGGACAGATCCTGCGTAAACATTTCCACGGTGCTATCAAAAAGGGAAGCAGCATTCTCTCTATCAGGAGCCTTCCTCGGACCCTTGGAGCCCAGCCCAGGTGAGATGGAGCGATGTACATGAACAGGGACAGACATCTGAGCACAGTGCTGTGGTCACTCGGTGACCGGTGGGTAGTAGGAACAACACAGGAGCCAGACTGACACATTCCCAAAAGCTGGTCCCCCATTCTGAACTAGTGAGCTGTGAGCCAACAGTATTATAATGACTGTGTATGGTGCCCAGTGGGTATTTGAAATATCAGGGTGGAGGGGCACTTTGTCATGTATATGATTGTCTGACCACGGTGCTCTGTACCTGAGACTAATACAAAATAATGATGAATGTAAACTGTGATTGAAAAATAAAATACCTGGCTGGTGGGGCTCAGTGGTTGAGCGTCGACCCTGCACCAAGAGGTCACCGGTTCGATTCCCGGTCAGGGCACATGTCCAGGTTGTGGGCCTGATCCCCAGTAGGGGGCGTGCGGGAGGCCACTAATCAATGTTCTCTTATCGATATTTCTATCTCTCTCTCCCCCTCTCCCTTCCTCTCACTCTAACATCAATAAAGAAAAAAATATTTTAAAGAAAAGAAAAATAAAATAAATTTTAAAATAAAACAAACAAGTGGGCGGTGGCTCTGGGACCTGGGAGAGCAGAGCAGGGAGGCCCACCGTCCAGCGGGGGATGAGCCCTGCTGGTCTAAGACCTGCCACGGAGGCTGCCGCCCCCATCCCGGGGACAGGGCGGGGCTTTCTGGACGGACACCTGGCCCTCGCTCCGGTAGGTCTGACCCCAAAGATGCGCACCCCGGCCAGGCGTCAAGCCCCAGAGCTCCCCCAGGCTTGGGGGAGCCTCCGCAGCCCCCCCTCAGCCTCTACCCCAGCCGAGGCTTTTCAAGGACTTTTGTCCCCAGCAGATTTGTTCGTTAAAAGTGCCACTCTCAGTATTTCCCAAAGACTCGAGTACAAGAGGGAGGGAGCCTTTGTTAAGTGAACTGTTCTCCCTGCTCCAAAACAACTGAGGGGGAAGCCGGGATTCCCACCGTCCAGGGGGCCGGACAGGGCAGCAGCTCGGCCCTGCGGCTCAGCTCACGGCGTCCCGGCTCCCACTCTGGTGGCCAAGGGCCAGGGCGTGACTCACGGGAACCGAACACAGGGCTGACGATTTGATTCGAAAGCTAAATTCTTCTCCTGTTCCAATCACTCAGCACCCCTCACCCCAACCCCAAACGTGGGATAAGCCCTTCAGTCTTCCAGGCTGCTGTCTCATCTCGCTCCCTCTGAGTTACTGAGTCATTTCCTTTCTCGAATTTCTCGGAGGAACCTCACTGCCTGCCAGACCCGCAGCTCAGCCGGATCAGTCCCCGCTTCCCCGAGACTCCCCCTCCTTCCTGACTCACTGCCTTGAATCTACTGCGAGAACCTCTGTGCAGCCCCGAAGTCGCGTCTCTCGTGGAAACAGACACGTGTATGTACGTAGAGGATAAACAGAAGAAAAAATATATTTTAAAAAAAGATGCCAAACTTTTATGCTGATATAGGCAATGGCTCACTGCCCCCCCCCCCCCACACACACACACACTTTCCAGGTTTTTAACAGTGTCAGCCATTGTTTTCATAACCAGGACAAACAAAGTACTCACGAAGGGACAAAAAGACAAAAGGGAAAACGGTGTCTATTTGTCTTCCTTTGGCCACAGTAAGCAGGGAAATGGGATCCACTGCCGGGCTCCAGCTGTTGACAAGGAAAAAGGAATACCCGTGGCCAAGGGAAAGAAAAACGGGGGCACACACACACCCCAAATCTTTTTTCCTACACTACAGAAACAGTGCCTGCAGGGTTTCACTCTGAGGCCCGGGGGGATCTTTTCCTGATTTCGAGGGTCCCTGGGACCCTTCTCCCCCGGGGCACAGAGAGAACAGCGTGAGCAGGGGCTCCAGAGGGGACAGGGGGAGGAGGTATCTGTCTGGACACGGTAGCTTACGGGAAACTGTGTGTGGAATACACTTTTTCTTGGACTAACACGTTCTTCACTAAAGACGCAAACTCAAAAAAAAAAAAGCCATTTTAGTTATTAAGGAAAGTCTGTGCAGTGAAAATGTCATTGACATCGGCGGGGGGGTGGGGGGGGGCATTACCTCCCTCCCAGGCACCACCCCCTCTCTGCCTGGCCTGTCAGCCCGCAGGGGTTTGCTAAATTCGCTCCCACCTCCTCCTCAGCACCTCCTGTAGGACCTTTCACCTACTTGGTCACAAAGACCTCTCCGGCCTTCCTCCCTCCAGTCTCCGGTCTTCCTCCCGCCCTCCACCCTCTGCCAGTGGTCCTTCTGTTTCACGGGGACCCAGGGCCCAGGAGTGACTTGATCCAGACAGACAGCTGGGGGCTCCGGAAGGACCACAGTCTTGGGGTCACACACACACCTGAGTTTTAATGCCAGCTCGTGTGACCGGAGTAAGCAAGACATTTGACCCACCTTAGTCTCGGCACCTGGATCCATGAGACGAGGTCAAAGAAATGCACAAACACACACCCCTGGGAAACTACCGATTTCTGGACCCGTTCACTGGGCTCCCCTCCAAGTATCGAAGGAACGCGGGGCAGGCAGCCCCAGCCCTCCAGGCCGGCGGCTTGGTCCTGGCTTATCCACCAGGCAGGGACAGGATACCTATTGCACTGACATGCTAGGTAAGTGTAAAAAGGAAAAGCATTTTGTAAATGGAAAACCCTGACTTGCAGCAGGACCATTCAAGGCCAAGATAAAATCTTAT